ATTTAGAGTAAAGAGAAACAGTCTTCTGGACTGGACGCTGTTTACTCAACAATCATACAGGGGAGGCAACTCTGTGCTCTCTAGATATACCGCTACAACACACACACACACACACACACACACACACACACACACACACACACACACACACACACACACACACACACACACACACACACACACACACACACACACACACACACACACACACACACACACAAACAAACAAACACACACACACACATATATATATTATATATGACCTAAGAGACACTAAATATAAAATGATGTTATAACGTCATAGATCAGAATATGATAAATTGAGACATATACCCACACAATGTTTAATGTTTAATTCGCTAATACACACACACACACACACACACACACACACACACACACACACACACACACACACACACACACACACACACACACACACACACACACACACACATATAAGTGCAATAATCTTGGACGCGACGTTAAACCAAATTTTACCTCACCTCACTACACCTCAGCTCTGGCATTTTTGTAATTCACTGAGGCAGTGATAATTTTATATGGTCATAACATATTTCATAATTATTTTCCCATTGCACCAAAGGGTTATTTCAACAAATGTTTCAGAGTGATGAAATAATTTTCTCAAAACATATTGATTAAGTATTACATTGATGATGAAGTGTCCAGTATGTACTGTTTATATTACTCTATACTAAAGCCGAATGGGCATGCAGATCACTGTTTTATGACGTCATCGCCTACAGACCAGTCTCTGCTCCAGTATCAGTAGGAAGTACTTTGGTAGAAAGTTAACGATTTGATCAAGTTAACCTTTTTCATCTTTACAATCTTTTAAACTCGCTTCTGTACTCACGTGTGGGGCACCGGCCTTACCAGATGTGTTGTTCTGAAAAAAATACACCTTATATGTTAATGCTTATGGTTTTTAACCACTCTGCCAACCACATAACTTTAGTACGTTTATATTATGCAGACTCTGTTTAAAAATAATGTACAATAAACACAGACGATCAGTGTTGTTCAAATAAGTTGTATTGAACAAGAATACTCTCTCAAAATATACAATTCAATATCGTCACTGTATGTCATGTTGTCCGAACAGAGTGTGCACTTTGGTGTAATGTGTGAAATCCATTTCTGGTGTCCCCCGTGATAATGCTGGAATATTGCCAAAAGCGGCTTAAAACCACACTCATTCACTCACGTACGCAATGGTTGCAAATGGTTTAAGTGCCAGTAAAATCTTAAATACTGTTGTGGCTAGATTTTAACAGATCGGCGGCAGCGAATAATGTAGAGATATCCGCTCTTGTGTAAACATGAGAGTCGCAGGCTTGAATATTCAAGAGGTTTCGGGATTGAACAGTTTCTAGAAGGCTGGCTGTATCTATATGGGGGCAATAACAGGGCGATTCGAAGCCCTTTCAACGTGACTTGTGGTGTATCTACTTGCCCGGTGCAGATTTGAAAAGTTGCAAACACCGACAGCTTTCTGACAGCTTCCAACACCATCAAGAACGACAGTGGCACAATTCTAGACATTTGTGAATGCATTTACATTAACTAGTCGCCGGGCGTGACCATCCGATCCATTTGGTCGCCTCTTACGACAAGTATAGCTTATTGGAGACCCACATTTTTACCCAAAAGGAGACAAGTGTAGGTTGAGAAGGCCTATACTCTTACATGGAATCCCCACCGGGAGTCAAGTATAGGTTGCGGGAGACCTATATTCTTGCCTAAAATCCCCCAAAGGAGACAAGTATAGGTTCCGGGAGACCTATACTCATACATGGAATCCCAACAGGGAGTCAAGTATAGGTTGCGGGAGACCTATATTCTTACCTAGAATCCCCAAAAGAAGACAAGTATAGGTTCCGGGAGACCTATACTCTTACATGGATTCCCACATGGAGTCAAGTATATGTTCTGGGAGACCTATACTCTTAAATGGAATCCCCACAGGGAGTCAATTATAGGTTGCTGGAGACCTATACTCTTACATGGAATCCCCACAGGGAGTCAAGTATAGGTTCTGGGAGACCTATACTCTTAAATGGAATCCCAACAGGGAGTCAATTATAGGTTGCGGGAGACCTATACTCTTACGTGGAATCCCCACAGGGAGACAAGCATAGGTTGCGGGAGACCTATACTCTTACATGGAATCCCCACAGGGAGACAAGTATAGGTTGCGGGAGACCTATATTCTTACCTAGAATCCCCCACAGGTAGTCAAGTATAGGTTGTGGGAGACCTATACTCTTACATGGAATCCCCATAGGGAAACAAGTATTGGTTGCGGGAGACCTATACTCTTATCTAGAATCCCCAAAAGGAGACAAGTATAGGTTGCGGGAGACCTGTACTCTTACCTAGAATCCTCAAAAGGAGACAAGCATAGGTTGCGGGAGACCTATACTCTAAGCTGGAATCCCCACAGGGAGACAAGCATAGATTGAGGGAGACGTATGCTCTTACCTAGAATCCCCACAGGGAGACAAGTATAGGTTGCGGGAGACCTATATTCTTACTTAGAATCCCCCAAAGGAGACACGTATAGGTTCCGGAAGCCTGTATTCTTACCTAGAATCCCCCAAAGGAGACACGTATAGGTTGTGGGAGACCTAAACTCTTACCTAGAATCCCACAAAGGAGACATGTTTAGGTTGCTACAAACCTATATTCCTACCTGTATTCCCCACGGAGTAAAGTATTGGTTGCTTGAGACCTACAGTCTTACATGGAATCCCCACGGAGAGACAAGTTTGTTAAACCCTGCCCCCAGCAATATACAAGCTACATGACGGCGGTCTATATAGAATCGAGTCTGGACCAGACAATCTAGTGATTGACATCATGAGCATCGATCCACTCATTTGGGATACGATGACATGGATCAACCAGGTCAGCGAGCGTGACCACCCGATCCCGTTAGTTACGCATGGTAAACTTCACGGCAAGCATGGGTATATTCCGTGTTCTTGTTCCGTGTGTTCTTATCGCTGTTCTTGTTCCGTGTGTTCTTATCGCTGTTCTTGTTCCGTGTTCTTGTTCCGAGTGTCCTTTCGGGCCGGGTAGCCTAGTGTTTTAAGTGCACGATTCCCGACATGCGTACAATGTGTGAAGCCCTTTTCTGGTGTCCCCCGCCATGATATTGCAGGAATATTGCTAAAAGCGGCGTAAAACCATACTCACTCACTCACTCCTTTTGGTGCAGGCTTCTCGGTCCGTCAAAACCATACCTCTGTTTCACACGTCAACGTCTAAGACATATTCCATCGTTGTGATCCTCCTGCATTAAGCTGGCACTTTGCAACTGGACGTTTACCTGAACACATTCTCTCTTTATGTCACCCGGGGAGATCCGGGTTAGAATAGGTCTTCAACAGCCCCTGTTTGCCGTAAAACGCGACGTTACCTGTCGTAAGACTTGACTAAAGGGATCGGGTGGCCACTCTCGCTGACTTGGCTGATGCATGTCATCGTACCCCAATTGGGTTGATCGATGCTTATGATATCAATTACAGGATTGTCTGAATTATGTATAGACCGCCGTCAAATAGCTGGAATATTGCTGAGTGCGGCGTTAAACAACAAACAAACAAATAAAACACACTCCCTATTTGGCAGATTGTCTGCCACAAAACAATACATCGTTAAAAGATAGCTTTTATATTATGTTTAGACTCATAGCTTTAATAAAAAAATGTCTGGTTTAGCATCTGTAACTGAAAAATATCCAGTCTTCATGCAAAATCTCAGGCACCCCACCTAAATCCCAAATATCAAATGGTCGGTCCATCTTGACTTGACAATATTGTATATATTGTGTATATATCACCTCCAGCTCATTTAGTCAATTGGGTCAGGAATAGATTGATTAATTGTGATGTCCTTTCACGCCGATATGAACATCTAGGGTGTTAGCTTAATCATGTTAATACGGATAAACCAAAAGTAATGCATCTCTGGTGCGCAAACCTATCGATGCCACTTTGGTGGCATAATTATATTTCATAAATCGCAATTTCCCGTCATTTCAAATATTTGCTTATGTTTTTGCTTTTTTAGATTTCCATTTTAAATTTCCATTCCATACTTCCATTATACTTTCATATTTTCGATTATTCCCTCGTCATTTCAAGTGCATTTCAATAACTCGATTATTTTTTTCTCGTTACTTCGATTATTTTCTCTTTATTTCAAGTATTATAGAGAACAAAGCTCGAAATTACGAGAAATGATTAAGAAATGATTGAAATAACGAGAATATGATTGAATATAAAATTTGATAAAATTTCGAAATAACGAGTAAATAATCGACATTATGAGATTTCGTTATTTCTTTAGAAATTCCAAAGAACGAGAAAAAACTCGAAATTTCAAAAACAAAAATTGAAAAAACATGAAAATAACTTCGAAAACAATATACAATTATTGAAATAACGAAAAAAATATTCGAAAATGATGCTACCAAAGTGGCAACATTACGCTGTGTGGCCTTCATTAGCCACATCATCCCACCAGACCCGCACCCACAACCAACACCCACAGCCACCCACCCCTCTCATACAGTTGTGATAAATGTTGGCGTCCCCCTCTTGCGCTGTGTTATGTTTTCATGACACCACCCCCACCCCCACCCCCACCCCCACCCCCACCCTGAAATCTCGACCCACCCCTTCCCATCCCCATTCCCAAACCTAACATAAATAATAACCAGTCCCTTACTCTCATACCTCCAATTACTACCACCCATTTTAGGTACACATACTTATGTCACAGAAAGGAAACTATACATAATAAAACAGACCGGTTTTCTTTATGGTGACATTCGCCCCAACTCGTCTGATTCTAGGTATCTATTTGCGTAGCCGCAACAATGCAACAAAACGAAAGAGAAAGGTACTTAAGGAATCCTACTTTCGTTTTGATAATATCACGACGTGTCATTTCAAAATGGCGCTTGTCTTGTAACAATGTCGAGCCGAGAGGAACTCACAACGCGATCTGTTTTAATCACAGGTCTCCCGGGCAATGTTAATGTCTTGGAGTTTGTGAATGCTTACTTATCTGAGATTGGTATCCAAACGTCAGCTGAAACTGTGGACTATGTCGGTGAACCCGAAGAGACCCAGGGCAAGCACGGATATGTTGTGTTACTTAAATCAATGATCGGTGAGTAGACTGTGACAGGGAGGTTATATGTAGCCGGAGTTGTTGTGTCACTGTGTATGTTGTGTGTATGATAAACTCAATACTGCCGATAACAGGAGTGATTTAACAAGCCTCTAGCGACACGCCATTACTAAACCCTCATAACACGGTATGACTCAGCTGTTTTCGATTAACAGTGTGCAGCCATTCATATATTTATCTGATCACGTATTTTTCTTTCCATTAATCAATATTCATGACAAGATTAAGTTAACATCCATAATCAAATTACACAGTCTCGTTATAGGCACACACACACACACACACACACGCACGCACGCACACACACACACACACAAGCACACTCACACAAGCACACTCACTCATACATAACTTACATATATGTGTAACATTTATTCCACAGTAGTAATTACAGTGATTTTACTTTCGTTTCACAACCAAGAGGAACTTCAGTACTCACCATATTCCAAGAAATCCAAAACAAATATATTCCACGATACAGAAAGCGAAAGGAGGATATGTCTGTCTTCCTTAAGCAGAGTAATGGCATCGCCAATGACAACACAATGACACAGACATATGTACAGTAAAGTACGGTTATAACGAACTGAAAGGGACTTCTAATTTGTGTTCGTTATGAGTGTAGTTCGTTATAAGCATATATACAGCATAACTACAGCAAATAGTCGGGACCAAAAATGTAAGTTTGTAATATCCGTCAGTTCGTTATAAGCGTGTTCGTTATAACCGTAGTTTACTGTATTTACTTTGTTCATAAATATATATCATTCTTCTAATAATGAAAATGACGAATACCGAAGCAGTATACCTCTTATAGAAGATATCTTTTGAAACACACTATCGACAACCACGCTGCATCCCGTGCATCACGTGTGTATACTAAAACACGTACATAAACAATACAATATAACATCCCACCAGGTATGACCTAAGAGACACTAAATATAAAATGGAATGTATGACGTCATAGATCAGAATAAAATACATGAAGACATATACCCACACAATGTTTAATGTTTAATTCGCTAATACACACACACACACACACACACACACACACACACACACCATATTCATCCCTCTCTAATACCTACTTACATACACACAAGCCAACAACCGCACCCCCACCCCCACCCACACACACACTCACACTCACTCGTATATAACTTACATATATGTGTAACATGTATTCCATTAATAATTACAGTGATTTTGCTTTCGTTTCACAACCATTAGGAACTGCAGTATTCACAATATTCCAAGAATCCAAAACAAATATATTCCACGATACAGAAAGCGAAAGGAGGATATGTCTGTCTTCCTCAAGCAGAGTAATGTGGGGCGCAATGACAACACAATGACACAGACATATGTATTTACTTTGTTCATAAATGTATGTAATTCTTCAAATAATGAAAATGACGAATACCGAAGCAGTATACCTCTTGTAGTAGATATCTTTTGAAACACCCTATCGACAACCACGCAGCATCTCGTGCATCACGTGTGAATACTAAAACACGTACATAAACAATACAATATAACATCCCACCAGGTATGACCTAAGAGACACTAAATATAAAATGATATGTATAACGTCATAGATCAGAATAAGATAAATTAAGACATATACCCACACAATGTTTAATGTTTAATTCGCCCATACACACACACCATATCCCTCCCTCTCTACATACACACACACACCACCACCACCACCACCACCACAACTAACAACCCCATGCCCAAACACACACACACACACACACACACACACACACGCACGCACGCACGCACGCACGCACGCACGCGCGCACACGTCCACGCACACACAAGCGCCATTGGAACATTTGATGAATTAATGTACAAGGAGTTTAACATCTATTAAATATCTGCTGCATGTGTGTCAGTGCGGATGTCTTGTGTATGTAATGCATTTACGACCCGGTCGCTTAATTCATAAGATATACTATCTCCGGTAGCTATTTATAGACACAGCGACATCACTTAAATGGGACACAGTGAAGCCCGGGTGTTTGTAAGGGGGAAGTGTTATATCACTTGATGTCAGGCATTGCTTCACACACGGGGTAGATCTCATTCGTGACCAACTCGTGTTATTCCGGGACAAGCCGAATAGCGACTCGTGTCCATTTATGCGACCGGGTTCCGTCTTACCGCAAACGGCATACCCAAAATAATTGTCAACTCGTTGCGTCATGGTTCACATATATTTTCACATATATCATATATATTTTTAGATGTAATGTCAAAACTGATATGTAAAATCAAAAATTATTCCTGAGGGATTCTTTGACGAAGAACTTTAAGTCATACGCGCATTCTGATTGGTTTGTCGTATTTTCGCACATAACATTCATCGATAGGGGGACGAGTCTTCTTGCAGGTTACGGAAGTGGTGACGAATGGGGGTAGATCTATGAACGCCTCCATTCCTGATTGACATGTGTAATTCCCGTTCAATTGTGACCCGTCTGGAAGGATTTAATTTTGGCGAATGAACATCAGAACTACTTCAGACAAGAACGATAACTCTATTAGTAGTATAGGTAATGATGGTTCTGGACCACTTCCACTGGAGCCAGATTCATATACCTATACTGCTACTACAGGGGGGATTTTTTATGCCAAAATGATTATGCGATTCAACGATAGTCATGAGATTAAGTTAAATCGACTCTAGCTTACCACCACCAGGAGCCAATCATTGCTTTAGATGAGTCTAAATGGTAATAAAAATATTCTTTATTATTTTTATCGATAAAGCGATATTCAACATTTTTATTAAGTTATTCGTTCATTTTACTAGGAGACCAGACTATATAACTACACTCTTTTTGTAAATTGATAAGAAACAATTGATAACCGTATTTGGTTGGTTTGACATCACTGATATAATAAAAACCTTGTGGTAATTCTCTCCATTTAATAGCTTTCTCCATTATTATATATTTATGTAAGCATTTGTCTAAATGTGATCAAACGATAGTAAGCAATCTATTTTTAATCTCCAACCAGTTCTTTGGTTTTGTCACGGAATAATTGACGCGCTTGTTGCCTCCCCTGTTCTATGAACTTTTTTTTCTCATCCTCGCTAATACCACTGGTCTTATGAGATTTTGATAGAATCTCCTGCTTCATTTCGTTGTATTTGGTGAGTTCCGACAGCACTAAACGAAACTCATCCTCGGATATCTTACAATCGGCCATTGCTGTCGAAATATGATCCTCAATGCTGTTCAACTTTGCTTCGGCGAGTATCCGAATACTATCGTGTTTTAATGCTTTCTTTTGTAACCTACGAGAAATGAATTTTATCGCTATTCCTGCCAGTCCCGAGACTCCAGCTGTTATTTCCATGCCGAGCAGGATAGGCGCGGCGATTATAGTTGATAGTAAACCGATACCTGCTACACCGAGTCCCATGCCAGATACTACAAGAGCGGTGTCAACTCCGTCCAGAGCATTCACGGCTCTGCGATACTTTTTATACAATCCAAGTCTCAACTCCCTATCCTTCTCTATTCAATGTTTTATGTCGCTTATTTGATGTAATCGAAATCCATCAACAGTTTCCATCTTTTCAAATGCTTCATCGAGCGCTGGATATAAACTCATAGTTTATATTACGCTCATATAATAGTCTTTAATTGGTCTTGCTTAAATGTTTTGAGACTATACATCAACCTTATCAAATGTATATTATACGGCAAGAATATCTTAGAAAGAGAAATGCTGTCACTTTTAATAATTTGAACCCCCTCGAGGGTTGCAATGGGCGATGCTCCGATATGAATAATACTGCAACATTGACGCTCGTGTTTCTTGAGCCATTTAATCGATAGACCTGGTAATATTTCGAAGGCATCTTCCGGTGCATCTCCGAACAAGACTTCAATAATAAGCGTAGAAAGATTAGGTATTGCACTCAAGTTATCTTTAATATCTTCGAATTCAGTAATCAAATTTAAAGTAACATTTTTTAAGGCCGGACGACTATATAACATATGACCTGGGATTTCTGGCAGGGGGGTAACTAACACACTTTTTCGTTTTGATGGGATATAAGCCGCGAGTAAGATGCCACTATTTATTATCTAAGTTAAATTATGTCCCTTACCCATCATCACATAAGGTGGGGTAATGACGATATTCAATAGCCACTCGATGTTTGCTTCGATCATAGTCCATTTATTATCGTCGTTGCGAGTAATATTGTACGAAGTGTTTTTAATGAGTCTACTAACGTCGACATCGCTAAAATCTTCTAGATTACCCGTGAATGTGACTTCTTTCCGCTTGTATACATTATCGTGTAAGTGTAAAGCGTATAACTTACCATTGTAACCGGGTTTATCAAATCCTTCTGTGTCTCCGAGATCGGAAAGCGCAATTGTATTACATTGTCTGAGCGTTCCAGGGCCTGATGCATCAACCATTATTTTTAATATGGAGTGTTACACTTAAGTATCCTATATGTACAGGTTGATGTTTTACATCTAATACAGAAATTTTGAGGTCTGAAATAATACCACGCTTCAATTTTTTATATTGTAATGACGAGAAAGATTCCGTTCTACCGCTATTATATTTTTCATTTTTCACTGGAACACTTCTGAGCAGAGTTGAAGGACTTTCTAGTTGAATATTATCCGTCGTGCTTATTTGATCAAGATGGATGAACAACTCTTTATAGGGAACTAAATCGGGTAATTTAACATAAGGATGTGTGTCAATTAAGCGACTAAATTCCTCTCTACCTGGTTGGCCCAATGCAACTATATTATTTGCATGGTCGAATTTCACTGTCCCAGTCGCCTCATTTTGTGAGAGACTAACTCCATTAGGCTTTAAAATTTCATCATTGAGTGAGCTTACGCTGTAATACCCATCAGGTATAGTAATGGATTTGACAGTACCAAGTACGGATAATATAATTATCCTATTATTATTTTTTG